CCTCCCCTCCCAGGCCTACTAATGTCCAATTTTACTTCCACATGTTCAGTCAGTGCTGGTCCCAGGGGTGAAGCATCCTAGTGGTGACCACTCACTCACCTCACTAACCCCTTCTCTACAGAACCTCTCATCATTTACTGACAGTAATCCCTGAATGATCTCTCCCATGCTAATATCTGAGCAATCTCATAATGATCCAAGCCAGCGGTTTTCTGATGCTCTGACATGAAATTGGGACCCAGACTTTTATTTCTTTATGTCCTTTATTTCATGCTATGATGGTGCCCCCTTGTGGCCATGTTGGTGTAACATCTTACTCTTCAAAACTCTAACTCTCCAAAAGAGATTGCTTTGTGATTCTCCTGCATACTGGTGTCTTAAGTTAAACCTCAATAATGTATTTTAGCCCTGTGTGAGTCAGACAAATATAAGGCAATAAGCTGAGAGCCCCAGAGGTTCTTATTGAGATGAAAGGAAGCAAAGCAGGAGAGCTTGGTGCCCAAGCAGTAATTAGATATAGGAAGGTCATGATTTGATGATATCATTAAGTTAGTCACGTCACCTGTTTAACCAAAGCTTAATCTCCACCAGTAAATGTAAAGGCACTGTGGAATATAAACTAAGAAATACAACTGCTGGCAAGAATAGCCCAACGACATTAATTGATTTTGTGAATTAATAAATGAATTGGCCTGACGCTCAAACATCTGCGCAAAGCAAGAAGCAGCCTTGACTGCACCTGCGGCACAGACAGCAGGCGAGAGGGCAGAAGCGACTTGCTAAAAGGTTGGTGGCATTTATTCTTAAGTAAACACAATTTGCCGACATTGAGATCAGAAAAAAAATCAAGGATCGGTAAGGTGATAACGTAATTATCGTGACAGACCTAGTTTGTGCACTGAATGATAGAGCAAATTACAGACACATAGCACATTGAATCATTTTTTGGCAGTATTAAACTAACCAAAGGAGAAATACACAACTTTTCTCCCCAAATCGGGGGAACACTGGTATTGTATGTAAACTTGTTGAGCTTTTGTTGGGCTAATCTCTATCTGTATCCAGTAGAGGGGGCTGTTGAGTGAGGATTTAACATTTGCAACTTGGAATTCTATCTTTCCTTTGACACACAACATACTGTTCAAGCATTTAGAGCAAAAATCCCCAAAATGACAATAACCTGCATTAGATTTATTTGTTGAGCTCACTGGAGGAGGAGGAGGAGGAGGAGGAGGAGGAGGAGGCAGAGAGGTTTCTGAGCTGGCCATGGCTCCAGCACTTTGTGGTTTCTCGGTGACAGCAGCATGCTCGACATTTCCCTTCTATGAACCGTTTGACTGAGCTACTCTGCTCAGTCACAGCACTGTGATTACAGCATTGGGCAACCTGGCCTCTGGATGGCATTACAGGCTTCTGTGTCCTAGGAAGCACAAGGGGCTTGGATGGGGCTCCCCAACCGTGAGGTGCAGGAGGTGAGCAAGGCGGTGGCTGATCATCTGCTGTTTCATACCAGGCATACTGAGGCACAAGCAGAATGCATGCAGCCTGACTGCTAGGAGCTGATTCTCCACACCAGCTGTTGTAGCTGAAGCAGACGGTGAGGCCTCAGCTGCAGAGTCATAGCCAGACACTGTATCACTGCTCATACCAGGAATCCTGGAAGCAGTTCGGTGTTACAGGGACTGCAGCACAGTGGTGCTTCTCAGCTACATATCTTCTGTAGCTTCTCTCACATGTAAACAGCACATATTCTGCCACCATGATGTTTTCTCCAACAAACTTACAGCATCCACACAAACTCAACATTACTCGCAGCCAGCCAGTCTCTCTCTCTCTCCCTCACACACACACACACACACACACACACACACACACACACTCAGATAGCTGCCATCAGACTCTCATTTGTGGGCCTCACGGGAAGTGATTATTGAAACTTAAGGGCTGTTCCCTTCTTTTAATTCATGGCAAATACACATGGTCCATATGATGCTGGAAAATGTGCCTTAATTACAAGCAAACAGGCTTTTACATAGGAAATCATTTAATTCCATTGCTTGCATGTAGTACCTTTCCCAGCAGTTGGCCCAAAGTGCATAAAAGTGATTTCAGAAGAATGACATCAAAGATTGACATAATAACAGGTCATGTGACACAGTAATACAGGAATGTTCAGTGATATGTAACCGGGGACCTCATAGATGCCATTCCTATAAATGAAAAACAGACCCTCATGAACAGCTAATCAAGTTCAAAGCCTAACTTATCTATAGAAAGTACATTATAATTCATAAAGTAGACATATAAAAACCAAAACATCACAGCAAATGTACACATGTTGTCCTACACTTGATTTAGTCATCAGTTTACCTGGCTAGCATGGCTTGGGATGTTGTGAGGCAACCGATAGAGCCTGTGCAGAAACAGGGCAAGAACTGACATTGAAAATATGAAAATGGGTACAATTACGGAGCACAGTAACCGATGGTGGATATTCAGAGGACAATGTACAACTAGAAGCTTACGCTGGAAGGCCTGTGCGGGAACGGGGAACGTGGTACTTCCCGCAGGCAGCAAAGTCAGGTGGCTGTTCTTGTGTTAATTTCCTCACCATGTTATTTCAGCCAAAAACTTCAATGGTGGGTGACATGCTTACACACAATCACCCCACCCACACTCATGACTTCTACTGCTGTTTCCTCTTTCCAGCTTCTGCCTGACCCTATAATGAACTTCTCTGCCAAGGCCCTCACAGTGTGATTCCTCCTCCTCCTCCTCCTCCTCCTCCTCCTCTCTGTGGTCTTTAGTTGTGCCAGCAATAGTGGCTGCCAGTTTCCCCTTCCTGTAACCAAAATACTAATTTCTCACACGAGCTTAATATGTACTATCTGCATCACTTATACATCACAAAAACAATCTGCTATATAGATAAATACAGGAACATACCCATAATGTATTATGTTTCATGTTTGTGAATACACTCATGAACATATTTACAGAAGATGATGCATGCTCTTTTGCAGGCACATACACACAACATCTTGCAAATGCATTCAGAAACTCTCAAACCAACAATTTTCAGTTCTCCCCAAACTGGAACCTGCTTATCTGCCACACACTGAAAAATCTGCAAATCTAGCATTTTTAACACATACATAGGATGGATGTTTGTGATCAAAATCATGTTCTTGAAAAATCTAAAATACAGTGTTTAGAAGTTCATGCATCTTATGTTAGACATTGAACAAAGTTGCCTACAAACCACAAAACTTCCTGTGGAAATTGTGTGGTGAAGAAGTACAAGAACATGTACTGCGAAATTACAGCTACGAAAGGTAACCTTGTCAGATTGCACTTCTGTTTTCACCTGTATGTACATTTTAAAGATCTAGAACTAACTATATAATTTGCTTTTCTAGTTGTACTTCACATTTTATTATTTAGGAGTTTTTTTTTCATCCAAAGCAACATCTATTTTTTAGAAAGCAGAGTCAGCCAGTCCCTGGAGCAATTGGGGGGGCTTCTTCAGGGGCCCCCAGTGAAAAATCACACTGCCAACCTTGAGGTTTGAACCAAAAACCTTCTGATCACAGGGACAACAGCCTAACCTGCTGAAGCACACGGTGCCCCGAGTAAGTTGTATGACTTGAGGCCAAACAGAGATGCACCAGATGGCTTTGTTGTGTGGTGAGTAACCAGTTCTCTTAGAGAGTAGAGACCTGTTTATTTGCAATGGGAAGAAATTATGTTTTCACACGTGAAACATTATTTCAAAAAAAGATTTGAGATTCAAAGATATTTTATTGTCAATTCACATTTTATGTGCAAGGCATACATGAGAACCGAAATGCCGTTTCTCGCTTACTGCTGTGCGTAACCTCCAGTTAGAACTAGAAAGTTTAATCCTATTTCTATTCACACTTATATTTCCCTTGATAGCAGACCTACTCAAAAATGCACTGTTGTATGCTTAGTGGTTCATCATTCCAAAGTAGATGACTATAACATTTTGGCGTATACGTGGAAAAGCACGGACTCAGGAGATGTCTGCGTTTTATTTTGTTTATTATGGGTTTTGTGAGTTAAAACCCACGTTATAGCAATTGTTAGCACCTTATTCATGTTATAATACAGTTTTACAGTTTTTTAATTTATATAAGTAAAATCAAACATGTTGTCACGTCCGGGTGTTGACGGGCGAACAAGCAGGCGACCGAGCCGTGAGTATACGGGCAGAAAACAGGGTTTATTCAGGCAAGACGAAACACAGCAACACAACATCAATGACGGATCTGGGGAAACTAACTCAGACGCGGACTATGCTGCATTCCATTTGCATTCCGGATTGCATCCGATTTTCGGATTCCAGTATTACGTCACATCCGCTAAAAACTCGGGAAAACCGAGTCGGATATGTTCCATTTGCCACAGAAGTGAGAAGGGTCTGGCAGCTCTGGCTGCAGATCTCCACCAGGAGGATTTCCACTAGAGGGGAGAAGGGTCTGGCTGCAGACATCCACTGAGGCTCACGTCCACTGACACGCAGGAAGTCCATTGAGAGCCTGGAAATGGAACCTACAAATAAAATGTTTGCCAAATTATGTATAGTGATTTATTTATGTAGGAAATACTTCTGTTACTCTAAGATAATGTATGTGTAGAAAAGCTCTGAGAGAAGCATAATTTTGCAGCCTTTAAGGCTTCAATATAATACTCTGATAATACACTTTTGACAGTCACAATCGGACTACAGCTAAGTACACAATTTCATTAAATTTATTTATAATTAAGAATTGCATTACTTGTAATCTGATAAGTACAAACTACTTTTATGAATGTATAATTCAAGTGTGATAAGCACAAACTATTTTTAAATAAAATAATCTTTATAATTTAGTAATACAGTGGTCCCTCGTTAATCGCGGGAGTTACGTTCTAAAAATAACCCGCAATAGGCGAAATCCGCGAAGTAGGATTCTTTATTTAAAAACCGAATATTTTCGTAGTTAGAGCATTGGAAACCTGTTTACAACCTTATAAATAAGGTTTTTAACATTATTAGAGCCCTCTAGACATGAAATAACACCCTTTAGTCACCATTACTTTATGACTGCTGGACACGGAAGCAGGAACGGGGAGACGAGGAATCAGGATTGAAGGGTTTATTTGGAATCACTCAAAATGCAAGACACAGGAACATGTAACATCAAAACGTCAATGACAGACCTGGGGTTATAGACACTAACGTGGACTTCAAACTGAATCAAATTGACAGAAAACAGCTAGTCACAATCGGGGTTGCATATGTGGTTAATAAGGGGGCGTGGCACACAAGAGGATCGGACAGGCAGGTCATGACAATTACACTCATATTACCCAAAATATTAGATTTTTTTTTTAGAAAATAAATATTAGACGTTATAAATATCATATTGTTATTATTATACATTTAATTACGAAGAGCAAAGATGCTTCCGATGCGTAGCGATGTATCATTTTCATTGTTTCGATCAATTTTTTAATCAATAGACAAAAAACCGCAATAGAGTGAAGCCGCGAAGGTCGAAGTGTGAAGTGGCGAGGGACGACTGTATATGCATACAAACAAGTGATAACCACGAACCATTTTTAAATGAACTAAAATTAGGATGTATGATAGAATATATCTATGCCTGCGTCTCAGTGGATCTGTGATGTCACTTCCTGCGTGTCAGTGGACGTGAGCCGCAGTGGATGTCTGCGATGTCTGCAGCCGGACTCTCTTGCGAGGAGCTGGGGGTTAAGGGCCTTGCTCAAGGACCTGCTGAGGCTGGGTTTAAACCAGCGACCTTGTGATTATTGGAACACAGACTTAGCCCACTGAACCACACATTGCCCCTTTAACAAATGAGGACAGGAGCTATGTGTGGACATGCTACACAAGTGTCCCTGTTGTACGCATTTAGCCACAGTATTTGTCGAGAATATCCGTCGATTGATCCATTTATACAAATTCCGAAAGGTTTCAGTTTATCATAGGAGTCTAAATGCCATACAAAGTTGGGAACCTTTGATGAATATGCCCTAGGTGCGGTTAAGGCGTCTCGATCTCCGTCTCTCTGTCCCTTCTGGGTCCAATGTTAGGAGAATCAGGCGCACATCTTCCTTCTGAGCACGAAGTCCATTTTCTTTGCATTTACTGTGCATCCACCGGTAACCACGAAGAGCTCCAGAACCCTGTACCTCGCTTTTTATGAACTGTATGACATCTGCAGTGTCAAAGTTTTTGCGCTGAACTGTTCGTTTTTCCGTAAAATGCGTTTGAGCGTTGCCAACGACATCACAATGTTGTGCTTAACAGCCAAAACCCAAATAATGTCAGTATATTTCAGTCCAGTATCAAAATAAAACTGTATTAAATCGAAACGCTCCATGACCCTGTGTCCATGAATGATCAATAGGGTAGCAATACATTCGCGGGCACGAATTACTAATTCGAGGGTATGATTTACTAAATCGAACGCACGAAGTTGTAATTCAAGGGTACAATTTACTAATTCGAGGGAACGAAATAATATTTTTTTCTACCGTGACACCTAAAGGGCTCTGTATAATATTAATCCACTTTTCTGAATAAATCGTGCTTTACTGACTTCCTTAAAGCAGAAGATACATCCGGCCAATCAGCGTGCTCGGGGGCGGGGCCGCGGCTCGGGCGCTTGGCCACAAAGTTTCCCGCAGTGATCTGAAGGCAGTTCCAGGGCACGGAAGCGGCGTATGGATTGCAACGGAGAGCCAGGAAGGGAGGGGACGTGGTCAGTGACAGCCCAGTGAAGTCCGGGAAAGAGAGCAAAGTAAGCCCCGGCCGAACTAAGCCTGGAATACACCGGATGCGTGGCGTGCGCGTCGCGGGTACGGAAAGTTTACATTTTTTAAGTTTTTAATTTCGGCGCCCGCGTTAACAGATTGGAGCAGCCACACCGCCTGGAAGGTCGGAGTGACGCTTATTTTTCACGCGTGCGGTAAACAGTTCTCAGCAAAAATACGCGGCTAAAAATGTGTCGATAGTCACAATGACATACCAGCAAAATAACGTAACTGACACCTTTCACTACTGTTTGTGTCTAGGCTACATACCATAGACAATAAATATTAATTATTTGAACCATTTTCCCAATTGCATGCTATTAAATGAGAAAGTGGAGGAACATGTACTATATTGTCAGAGCAGTAAACCCAGTGTAGGCTATAATTACGTAGATAAGTAAACAGAAGATTAGGTGAAGCAGGGTAGTTTTCAGGTGCGCTCTCGCTCTGAACGATGATACAGAAAAATAAAAAAATACAGAGATTGCTGTATGTTATTCATAATAACATTTTTTTTATTATTATTATTATTATTATTATTATTATTATTTATTATCACTACTACAATTGACCACACGCTTCTTAACTTTTGTCTAAACTAAATATAAAACTGAAAATAACGTGACTGTTTACTGGTTGAAACTAGTCAACTTTACCGTCTCTTCTAACTTCAAAACATTCTGTTATTGATGGTCATTATCAAAGGTGAACTCTATGTAGAAATACAGGGCTTGCAGCAACTAACGCTTAATAACTGCGCTGTGTCTAATTACAGCTACAGTGAACGTAAACAAGACCGCTGGCCTATTGAACGTGAAGTGCACCAAACACTGAAATATTAATTGAAATTCGCCCATACAGAAATTTTGAAAAACAATGGCTGTCGCTTGATTTTGTTGAAAGATAGTACAGCTGGAGAAGTAAAACGTGACACGCTCAGCATCTTCCCTGGCAAATTTTATCGGCAAGATTTAAAATTGCCGGAATAGTATTGCTTTTGACAATGTATCATCATGTACCGCGATATATTGTCCCAACAGTAAACATGTAAAAATTAGATATGCGGATACCTCCTCATCTCCTCTAAGAATAATTCTTCTATTCTTTCTTGGTTGACCTCTGCTCTGTCAAAGTCACTACTGCCACCTGCTGGAAACACCTCATCAATGATTTTGGACATGCGCAGTCGTAGCACATGATCTCCGCTGGACCAAAAAAATCTGGGTTACACGTGCATCTTCCGCAGCCATCTAGTGACCCGGGGCCGGTTTTAGACATGCATATATGAGGGGGCAGACAGAAATGTGAAG